GAAAGAGTGATGAGAAATCTTTTTGTCAAGAAACTTTATCTGTGGCCCAGGTAAGGCACCTCTTCACCTCATTGGAGTTTAACCTTAAACAAAGATGAAGGATGTTACAGTGGCTTCCCATGAAGATGGTGTATGAGGAGGTCACGCTGCTAATCTGAATAACAAACGTTATTCAAGTTTTGACAGAAAAAGTGGTCTTAAGATGCTAAATTTCTGTAAGTGTTTTTGAAAACAGAGAACCAAATTAAATCTGTAGGGAGCTGAACCTTATAGCGTAGTTGTCCTTTTAGCCAATACAAATCACAGCAGAAAGTGACATTGTTAATGGCTTAAGAAAGAATTCACTTACTGAACAGATTATTTATGCCATGAAGTAAGAGCAATATAGTCTTTTAGTTCTGCCATTCATTGAAGTATTTGTTTCCACATGTGATGAAACCCTATGCATCTCTTCCTACATGCTAGATTTATTTTTTCAATGTTCTTTTACATGTATGTTGTGTATGAAGAATATTTCTTGCTGACAGATAGAAACCAAATTGCCAAGTTTGTGACAGCATTAAATCTTCCAGGAAAAAAAGCCACAAATGAAACTGGGCACTTCAGCTATTCATGGGTTCAAAGCAGTAATTTTCCATGGATCCTTCAGCAATGCTATAGGTTTGCATGACTGGAATGACTAGTCACAATTGTAGAATAGATGGCTTTCTGAGGCTATTCATAAGATTGCAGTCTTCACATCAGTAGAAATTTATTTATTTTGCAATTAACATATTTGTAAATGTTTAAAACAAATGTAGTTTATGCAAACTCTTGAAGTCAAGCAGACCATTCTTGTTGTTTTCCTCTTAGATTTCATATAGCAGTGAACTCATTTTTAGAGAAGCATAAACCTGAAGTAGTGGAAATACATGTGTCAATGACCCCTGCTATGCTTGCTATCCAGACTTCAGTCCTGGACATTTTGAACGCTTGTCTGAGAGAACTCAAACGTTGTAATCCAGCTCTTGAAGTAGAAGATCTTTCTTTAGAAAATGCTATTGGTAAACCTTTTGACAAGGTAACCATTTTGATTGTTTTGCTGTGTCTCACTAAAGAGATGTCAACCTTTAAACTGGCTGCCATGCAAGCAAAAATGTTACTTATAAAATAAATAAATAACCAGCAGCAACTGAGTATTCTCCTGTTACTGGTACGAGGAGAGAAACTGTTGATCTGTAATGGTGATGTTACAGTTGCCAGTGGGGTTTTTGGTGTGTTGGTATTATTGTGGGTATATTACTACTATTACTGTGATAGAGATGGCTGCAATTTCAGCAAATAAGTATGCACACTTACCTTTTTTTCCTCTTGAATTTCCTTCTTCTATTTTTTTCTCTATTAGGAGAAGCACTATATATAATACATAATACACACATGCATGCATTTAATCTTGATGTGAGGCCTTCTGTACTTTAAATATTTGGAGGGTTTTTTCGTAGGCTGTGTAGGTTGTATATCTGCATGGTACTCATCTTATATTGAAAATTATATGACACTACTTAGATAAAGTAAAAAAGAATTATAAAGGATACAAAATACTAAAGGCACATGCCAGTACCAGTAAAATAAAGGATTTTTTTTTACTTTACCAGTATTTTATTATTATATGTAAAGGAAAATATATACTGAAAGTGTTAAATTATACACATCTGCTAATTGTTGAAATGTTTTACATTATATTAACTTTGCAAAAAATGGTTACTTACCAAAACAAATACCTCACCATCACATCTTTAGGTGGGTATGTTTAATAACTTCGCAAAATTTGTGTTGTCCTCCCATAAAGAATTTTAAAAAAAAAAGCATTCTTGCCTTGTTTAGTATACTATATGTTTGACATCCTGAACTTTCCAATTTTTATTTCTAGACAATACGTCACTATTTAGATCCTCTCTGGCATCAACTTGGAGCTAAGACAAAATCTTTGGTCCAGGATTTGAAGATACTACGTACTTTGCTGCTGTATTTAACTCAGTATGATTGTGTCACTTTCCTAAATCTTCTGGAGTCACTGAAAGCAAGTGAAAAAGCTTTTGGTGAGAATTCAGGTAAATACTGAATAACCATACAAGTTAATGCATGAAACAGTGACATGTTGATATTTTTAATTAACATGACCAAGCATCTGAAGGTATCTAATTAGATTTTACATAACCAGCCATAAGGACGTAGGTTTTTATTGACAGATGATGCTTTCATCTTCCCACTTAACTGCTGTTACTTAACAGTGTGAGATTTGCATGACATTTCTGTCTTGTATTAAGCTACACAGCAAGCAGGTAGCACAGGTATTCCAGATGAGACACTTAGGGCTTTTGGGTTGAAACACACACATTGCAAATGTCAAACTGCTGCTGTTTTCTTTTCCCCTTTAGGTTGGCTGTTTCTTGACTCCAGTACTTCAATGTTTGTAAATGCTCGAGCTAGAGTTTATCGCATTGCAGATGAGAAACTGAATCAGAAGGGCAAAGTCTCTGAAAAAAGTGATGTAAAGAAGGAAAATGGTACTGATCATTCCTAATTTTAAGTTTGAGAGTGTCACACGATTTCAAATGCTCTGTATATTATTACTCCTTGTGCTGTTTTTCCCT